CAGCATGTAGTTGTTGAGGGCTAATTGAGAAAGGGAATAAATACTTTAAGAAAATGAAGAAGCTACAAACCTTATTAGAAACATATCTTATGAACTTGATGCTAACATAAGGAGTGCACTGATTGTAGCTAGCGAAATTAATGGGAATGTTGAAATGGGGCATTGGGTTGCTGAGCATTTCTTTAAGTTGAAGCTTACCATTGTGGTTACTATTGTTAGATTTAATATATATTTTAGGAATACCTTTTGGATATTAATCTATAATTTAGGAATATCTTTTTAGAAGATATTATTATATCTTTTTATATTTTTGTTAGAGGATATTTAGAATTTTATTTTGTGTATAAATATCCTAGTGAGGTAGCTCAATGTAATTCATTGTAAATCATTATTCTTTATTTTTGTAACCGTCATTAAATATATTCCTTTTACCTTTCATCTCTTATTTGTGCACCAAAAATTGGTATCTAGAGCTCCGGTTAGAAATCCACGGGAAACACGAGAGAACAGTGAGGTGTTATGATAATCGTTGTTTTTGATTCTGGGGATTTGGGAAACACAACTTTATTGAGTTTCTGCGTAAGTTTTCACAGGGTAGAAGATAAATGGAAATGGCGGCGATGTCCATTCCAAGCTTCTATTATTTGATGGCAAGAACTGGAATCGTTGGAAGATCCAGATGCGCGTGTTATTTGGTTCTCAAGATGTGTTAGATCTTGTCACCGATGGCTATGATCTGTTAGAAGCAGACGCAACAGAGGCACAAAAGATAACACATAGGGCTCTAAGGAAGAAAGATAAAAAGGCGTTATTTTACATCCATCAATGTGTGGATGCAAATGTGTTTGAGAAGATTGCTGATTCTGAAACAGTAAAGGTTGTGTGGGACACACTGGTCAGATGCTACGGTGGTGAGGCATCAGTGAAGAAGGTGAAGCTTCAGTATCTCAGAAAGCAATATGAGAATCTCAACATGAAGGACAACGAGAAGGTTTGAGTACATCTCTAGAGTGATTCTGATCACTAATGAGATGAAAGCTTGTGGAGAAATTCTTTCTGAAAAAATAATCATTGAGAAGATCTTGAGATCTTTAACTTCTCATTTGATTACATTGTGGTAGAAATTGAAAATTCCAAAGATCTGAGCACCATGAGAGTTGAAGAGCTGCAAAGTAGTCTAGAGGCGTATGAGTTGCGTATGACTGCAAGAACTTCTGAGAGGTAAGTAGAGTAGCAGACTCTAAAAGTAACTTCTAGTAAGAAGTATCAAAAGCAGACTTGGTCAGAAGCTAAGAAGAAAACTAACGGTGGTCAAAGGTCAGAGCTTCAAACTCTGATAGGAAGAAGAATGTCCAGGAGGGAAAGGAGAAGTCTGACAAAAAGAATGTTCAGTGTTACTGTTGGAAGAACTTTGGTCACTATGCCAAATATTGTTGGTCAAACAAAGAAAGGAAGTCAGAAGAAGCAAATATGTCCAGAGGAGAGTTAGATGATGAACATGTGCTATTGCTGGCTTTTGAACCTGACGATCTGAATGCATCAGAATGGTGGTATATGGACACAGGGTGTTCAAACCATCTTACTGGAAACAAGAAATGGTGGGTTGATTTTGAATCTGGGAAGAGTACAAAGATCAGATGTGCTGATGATAAATACCTCAATGCAGAAGGTATGGAAAATGTCAGAATCATTCAAAACAATGGGAAAGCAGCAGTGATCCAGAATGTATGGTATATACCTGGCATGAAAAGCAATTTGATGAGTGTGGGACAACTGATTGAGAAAGGTTTTTTAGTTACCATGAAGGACAATCTTTTGAAGTTGTATTACTGTAATCAGAAGCTGATTATGGAGTCAAAACAGGGAAGAAACAGAACATTCGAGGTGAATGTTAGAACTGCAGACTCTGAATGTCTTAGTGCAACAAGTGTTGTCAAGGAGAGTGAGTTGTGGCACAGAAGATTTGGTCATCTGAATTTCAGAAGTTTAGGGCATCTGAAATCAAAGAATCTGGTACATGGAATTCCTACAATCAAGAAACCTAAAAATTCATGCAAGGTGTGCATGGAAGGGAAGCAACCAAGATTACCATTTGCATCAGAAGTAGCTCCAAGAGCAAAACATGCCTTGGGAGTCGTGCATTCTGATGTGTGCGGTCCTTTTCCAGTAGCATCATTTGGAGGGAATAAATATTTTGTGTCATTTGTTGATGAGTCCACGAGAATGACATGGGTATCTCTCATAAAGTTTAAACACGAGGTGTTTGCTGAATTTAAGAAGTTCAGACTGAAGGTTGAGAATCAGAGTGGCCAAACTTTGAAGATTCTTAGAACTGATGGTGGTGGTGAGTATAACTCCACAGAATTCTGAAGATTTTGTAAGGAGAATGGAATTGAGCATGAGGTTACTCCTCCCTATACTCCTCAACATAATGGTCTTGCTGAAAGAAGAAACCATACTTTGCTTGATATGGTGAGAAGCATGTTGAAATAGAAGAAGCTTCCTCATACTCTGTGAGGAGAAGCTGTTGCAACTGCACGTTATGTGCTCAACAGATGTCCAACAAAGAAATTGAAGGAAATAGTTCATATTCAGAAGTGGATTGGAGATAAGCAAAGTGTTAGTCATCTGAAGGTGTTTGGTTCTGTATGTTACAAACATGTCACAAAAGCCAGAAGACAGAAGTTGGATGATAGAAGTAAAGTGATGTTACTGGTGGGGTACCACAGTAATGGTTCGTACAAACTCTATTGTCCAGAAACTAATAAAGTTGGGTTCAGAAGAGATGTCATTGTAAAGGAATCAGAAGTTTGGAATTGGGAAAGATCTCGTCCTGACTCTGATGAGAGAACTCCTGAAGAAAAGTCAGAAACGCGTGTTTCTGAAGCTGGTAAAGACTCTGACTCTGAAGAAGATACAGAAGAAGAAGATGATTCTAACTCTGATTCCGCTGGTGATCCAGACTCTGAAGACAGTCAAGGTTCTGGAGAAAGTCCAATTTCTGAAGCAAGTGATTCTGAAGGGGAAAGTTCTATTGTCCAAAGTTCTGAAGGTCCAGTTCAGAGGCAACAAAGACTGAGAAGCATCCCAAGAAGATTTGTAGAGTTTGACATGTTGCAAGACACTGAAGTAGACTCTAAAGGAGAAGTTATTCAGTATGCAATGTTATTAGACTCTGAACCCGTGAGTAAGGAAGAGGCTCTTAATCAACAAGTTTGGTTACAGGCCATGAAAGAAGAACTTGATGCTATAGAGAGAAACAAGACTTGGAAGCTGACAAAACTTCCAAAAGGCAAGAAATCCATCAGCGTTAGGTGAGTTTTCAAGCAGAAGCTAAAGCCAGGTGGATCAATTGGAAAACACAAAGCAAGATTAGTAGCAAGAGGCTTTCTACAGAATCCTGAGCTGGATTATTTTAAAGTGTTTGCACCTGTAGCGAGACATGAAACAATCAGACTAGTGATTGCAATAGCTGCTAACAGGAATTGGCCTCTAATGCATTTAGATGTAAAATCTGCATTTTTGAATGGCCCATTTCAAGAAGAGGTATACGTATCATAACCTCCTAGATTTGAGAAAAAGAATCAGGAAGGGATGGTATTCGGATTACAAAAAGCCTTGTATGGATGGAAGCAAGCGCCCAGAGCCTAGAATCTGAAGATTGATTCTTTTTTCAAGGAACAAGGGTTTCAGAAGTGTGAGATGGAGTATGGTGTTTATGTTCAGCATACTTCAGAAGGTAATATGATTCTGGTCTGTTTGTATGTTGATGACATATTACTCACAGGAAGTTCTGAACAAGAGATAACCGAGTTCAAGAAAGATCTGATGAATGCATTTGAGATGATAGATCTTGGGGGAAAATTTCTTTCTAGGGATGGAATTTATGTACTCTAAGAAAGGAATCATTTTGCATCAGATGAAGTATGAACTTGAACTTCTGAAGAGATTTGAGCTAGAGAATTACAAAGTTGCTATCACACCTGCTGATACAAATCAGAAGTTGGACTCTGATTCTGATGGAAAGGATGTGGATGCTACAACCTTCAAACAGTTGGTTGGTTCTCTGAGGTATTTGTGTAATACCAGACCTGATATTTGCTATGCAGTTGGAATGCTCAGCAGATTTATGAGTAAACCAAAGTGGTCTCATTACCAAGTTGTTGTCGGGACTATGAGGTATGTGAAGGGAACTCTGAAGTATGGAGTGTTATTTCCGTCTGGAAGAAAGATCGAATCAGAACTTCTGAGTTATTCAGACTTTGATTGGTGCGGAGATAGAGTGGACAGAAGAAGTACTTCTGGGTACTTATTCAAATTTCTGGGAGGTCATATTTCTTGGTGTTCCAAGAAGCAACTTGTTGTTGCGCTGTCAACCTGTGAAGGTAAATATATTGCAGGCGCTCTGACTGCATGTCAAGCTGTGTGGATTCTGAACTTGTTGCAAGATCTAAAGATTGAAGCAGCCAAACCTCTGAAGTTGATAATTGATAACAAGTCTGCAATCAATCTTGCCAAGAATCCAATGCTGCAAGGGAGAAGCAAGCATATTGAGGCCAAATATCATTTTCTGAGAAATCAAGTTCAGAGCGGAATATTAGAAGTTGTGCACTGTAGCACCCAGAAGCAGGTGACAGATGTTCTAACAAAGGCTATCAAGACTGGTCAATTTCTTTGCTTGAGGGATGAAATTGGTGTTGTCAGTTTTGGATAAAATATAAATTAAGGGATGGTGTAAGATTTAATCTATATTTTAGGAATATCTTTTGGATATTAATTTATATTTTAGGAATATCTTTTTAAAAGATATTATTATATCTTTTTACATCTTTGTTAGAGGATATTTAGAATTTTATTTTTGTGTATAAATAGCCTAGTGAGGTAGCTTAATGTAATTTATTATAAATCATTATTCCTTATTTTTATAGTCGTCATTAAATATATTTCTTTTGCCTTTCATTTCTTCTTTGTGCACCAACAATTATATTCTGCTTTCAAATATGTATGCTGAAGTTGGAAGACAGGATGAGGTAAATAAGGTATGGAAATTGATGAAGTCAATGGTAGCTAAGAAAAATCTTGGTTGCAGATTGGTTCAAGTTGGTAACCAGGTGCATGCTTTTTGTAGTTGGTGAGAAAATAGAGTTTAGATACTGAACTTTCATTATCATGAAAGTGGTTGAATTAATTATAATATTAATTAAAGGCTTTTCTGGCTGAATAAGTAAAATTGATTTTCCTTTTAGGGTGTGTTTAAAGTTTGGTCATTTTTTAGAATTTTTTCCCAATATGCCACATTTTTGAAATGAATTTCTCAAAATGCCACAGTCTGAAAAAAATTGCCCAGGATGCCACACCCAGGGGGGATTCACGCCATTTGAAATAGCGTAAATGTGGGCAGCAAGGGCTCACGCCAAATCAAATGACGTGAAAGGCCCGATTAATTTTTTTTCTTCGTTTTCTTGCATTTATGTTATTTATTTTAATAAGTTTAATTATTTAATTTTATTATTAATTACAAATAATTTAATAAACTATTTAGTTATAAAATTAATTAATAAAATATTAATTTAAAAACTTAAATAATTATAAACTTAAAATAACTATTTAACAATTACAATTAAATAATAATAAAAAATTTATTAAATAATAAAATATCACAATTACAATCAAAATACTAAATAAAAAATACAGTTAAAAGTAGTTATAAATAACAATATATGGATAAAATTAGTTAGAAGGATCTGCATTGTTGAGGCGATGCAGACATTTTTTAGCATATATGGTTGTTGACAGATACTGCATCGTCTTTTTATTTTCTCAACAGTGTCCATTTCAGTTCTAATGCGAGTACTGTTTGGGCGACCTTTTTTGTTTCGTCGCATCCTTTCATCATGCAAAAGAGTATCGCCCAAATATGGAGGCCAGCTATCTTCTTGGGGAACACCGAGGAAACTTTGTATGTAAACTTTGAAGACGTTTATAACTCTATACAAGTCAGGAATAAACGTAGTATAGTCGTGGTTAATGTGAGAACACGCTGCGATAACATGTGAGCAAGGCAGATGAAAAGTTTGAAATCTCCCACAATCACAAGTTCGTGTTTGTAGGTTGACGTTGAAATGAGTAAGTGGCCGACAATTCCTATTATTAACCGTCTCTTGAACCACGAAATAGTGACTTTCACGGTCAAAAGCCAAGACATTATAACTGTGGGATTTTTCTACTTCTTCTGCAATTCCTTTCATGCAGTTATTTGTGAATTCCTTTCCCGATGACAAATTTTTTGTCCAATCCTTTCCTCGCTTACCCCACAATGTTCCCATCCTGTAGTATGTTGATCTTACAAGTGATGTAATAGGTAGGTTTCAGATTTCCTTCAATACTGAGTTCAAAGGTTCAGCAAGGTTGATTCTCATGTGACCCCATCGTGCTTCTCCGTCGTAAGCTCGCGACCATTTTTCTCTTGGAAGGTTCTCTATCCAATTAAAAGCCTCAGTGTTTGTTTGGCGGATCTCCTCCCGATAATATGCGTATGTAGACTCATTAATTGCATACCATGCGTAAAAGCATTAAAAAATTAATATAAAAGAACTATATATTGAAATGCCATGTTAAAAATTAGAGAGTAATTACCCATGTTAACAACTGTCTTGCGATGGTTTTTGTCCTTGATGGCTCGCATGAAGTTTTGTGCGATGTGCCTAATGCAATACACATGCACTGAGGGTGGGTTCTGCCAGCCATTATCCGGGTTATTGTAGGCACTCTTAATGGACTCATGTCGATCAGATATCAAACATAAGTCTGATTGGGGTGTGACGTGGAGTCTCAAATTTTTCAGAAAGAAACTCCAAGCCCCCCGATCTCACCTTCGACCAATGCATATGCGATTGGGAAAATGTTACCATTCCCATCTTGTGCAACAGCCAGGAGCAATGTTCCCCTATATTTTCCATACAGCCATGTACCATCTACATGCACTATAGGTTTACAATGTGAGAAACCCCTAATACAAGGTTGAAATGCTCAAAAAAGGCGATGGAAAATTCTTGCACCACCAATTTGTGTTCCTTCATTTGAATATACAAGAAGTGTTTCAAGATCTATGACGGTACCTGGGAGAAATTGTTGCATGACTAGCAACCACTGCGGAAGGTTGTTGTAAGAGGCCTCCCAATTGCCATAAATATCTTCGATTGCTTTGTTCTTTGCAATCCATGCCTTTTTGTAAGACATGGTGTAGTCATAAGTCGTACGAATATGAGTAATAATATGTCTAACCTTGATTGCCGCGTTACTGTCAACAAGAGGTCTAATGTTATGGGCGATCATCTTTGAGGTAAGCTTTTGGTGATCTTGAGATATAGCAGTCAACATGCAAGTGTGTGGCCCTCCAATTCTGCCAATAACCCATTTACCACACCCCTCCCTTAATGAAGCCCTACATGTGAAGCTGCATCCCTCCTTTTTACATTTAATTAAATATTGTGTCGGATCAAACTTACAAACCTTAAAAGTATGAGAATTTTTTATGTGATACTCAGATATTGCATGGAGACATGCTTCTTTGTTTTCAAACGTCATACCAACCTTTAAGTCATCACGTGACTCACGTTCGTGTAAGGGTTCAAAGACTGAAATTGGTTCCACACATTCAAATGAAACATTTCTTAAGTGATAAGGTGGGTTGTATAGATCAAGTATAGGAGCCGGTTCTGCCTCCAGTATAGGGAAATGTGCACGTCTGTAGACATAAAAGTAACAGAGATGTCAGGATGTGTTTTACTTCTTCAAGTTTGGGCTTTTACACGCATGCCTATAATATCTCTGGTGACTCCGCTTCAAACTCCATATCCTTACGCAAGAAGGTAATATTTTAATTTAAATTTAAATTTATAATTAAAATTGTTAGGATACTTTAAAATAAAGTTTAATTTTAAATTTTTTTAGGTGGTGCATCAAGAAACTTGACTACCAAAACAACTCGCGCCACCATCTACAAGGATACCGATTCAGGATTGATCACATGCTTCAAGATCAGGTTTTTTTGTCTTCACTTTAATATTTCTTATAAATTTATGAATTTTATTTTGGTTAAACTAAGAAATTTTATCTATAACTTTTCAGTTTATTTGGAGGCCGTATCTTGGATTAGCGTCCCAAAGGCACGAGGACAATTTGATATGGAGTTCAACTACGTATATAATATGTTTTCATATTGTAGAAATGCATCAAGAAGATAGGGTCAAACTACAACTTGGCCATTTACAAGGATACCTGAAGAACTTCGATGCCTGGCTGAACACCATAAGATGACAACAATAAAAGCGCGCCAAAAAGGATATACCACATTATACTCTAATGAACAAAACTGTTAGTTGCATCGAGAATTGTTTACGTTGGATGAAGATCAATTACAAATAGAGGAGAAACCGTCAAATGAGTACATGCAATGGTATCACTCACTTCCACATAGATATGCATCGTACGAACAATTTTTCACTGACCCTCGTCAAAATCAATATGCCCCTACTCAGGCAAGTGGCTCTCAACAACCTCACCACTCACAACATTCTCAACCTCCTCATCCCCAATCCTTCCAACAACAAACTCCTCACTTTTCCCAACATCAAACACCCATCCCCATTATCCTGAACAACAAACTTCTAACCCTCATTTTTCTCAACTACAAACTCCTGCCCCAAAATCAAACCTTTAACACCCAATACCCGCAATCTTACTCCCAAACAAATTACATTTATGAATCCCAACAACCACAAATTTATAATAGGCTAACTACACAATTCACACTCATCATGCGACCAAACTTTGATTCCTCCTCCTCCCAACATAACCCTACAACGCCTTATTTTCCAACCATGTGTCCGCCACAACAACCGCAATATAATTTTGGCGAGGATCTTAACGTCAGTGATTATGATTTACTGGAAAGCATTTGGTCTCCTCCGCAAGCTACAACTCCTAGTCAACAAAATCCTCCAACATCAGATGCAACACAACAAAATCCTCCAACAACAGAGACCGAACAACAATATGGTTTTGGTGATCGTGCACCGCAACCGCGTTATTATTTTACCTGTACTCGTTTCGGACCGGGTCATCAGCATTAAATAGTGTAATTGTGAAATTTTAACTGTATTTTTTTATTTAATATTTTGATTGTAATTGTGATATTTTATTATTTAATAAAAAAATTATTATTTAATTGTAATTATTAAATAGTTATTTTAAGTTTATAATTATTTAAGTTTTTAAATTAATATTTTATTAATTAATTTTATAACTAAATAGTTTATTAAATTATTTGTAATTAATAATAAAATTAAATAATTAAACTTATTAAAATAAATAACATAAATGCAAGAAAACGAAGAAAAAAATTAATCAGACCTTTCACGCCATTTGATTTAGCGTGAGCCCTTACTGCTCACATTCGCATCATTTCAAATGGCGTGATCTCTCCTGAATGTGGTATTCTGAACATTTTTTTTTCAGACCGTGGCATTTTGAGAAATTCATTTTAAAAATGTGACATATTGGAAAAAAATTCCATTTTTTATGGTGCACCACATCTTTTGTATGTTTTAACTAAAGTTAACTATTTCCATGGGCATTGTAATGCAGTCACTAGACAAATGTTGTTAAAGGAACGTAGATATGGACGGCTTAGCATCGTTACTTCTGGTTTGGTTAACTAAATATTATTTTTGGTTAGATGCTCACAATAGCCTATGAATGAATAGAGACCAATTGTCTATAAGTTGAGCAAATGAAAGAATGTCACTTTCATTAAAGGCACAGTGGATGAATAAATGCAAAATAAATACTCCATCTGGTCTCATTTATAAGAAAAAGTTAACTTTTTAGATACATTAAATAAGTAATGTATTTGGACAATATATTGTCCAAATACATTACTTATTCAATGTATATAAAAAGTTAATTTTTTTTTATAAATGAGACCGGAGGGAGTACATTTTAATAGTTTATTAATATATTTCAAAGTTAAAATTGTGTGTTTTTAAAGTTATTATTGATGAATGTTAATATAGTTTAGTTGACTATTGCTTTTGCAAGTAATATTTATTATGATTAATTGAAGTAAGTTGTACAATTTTATCTACTTATATCACATAGCTTTTTATTTGATTTGTTGTGTTTAAATCTGGAAGAAACAAAATATGTATTATCTATATTGATTCTAAAAGAAGAACCACCGCTACAATCCAAAGAACTATATACGCTATAGAGAAGATATCGATTTAAAATTTTTTGAATAAACTTTTGTTTTATTTAAAGGGGATTAATTGTTTTGTTTTAAGGATATATATATATATATATATATATATATATATATATATATATATATATATATATATATATATATATATATATATATATATATATATATATATATATATATATATATATATATATATATATATATATATATATATATATATATATATATATATATATATATATATATATATATTTTAAAAATTAATATAATCCTTATATTAACTTGTATTACAACTTTTTTTAATAATGACATAATCATAAAATTAGAGAACATGAAATTATTTATAAAAATCTTTAATATTAACGAGAACATAAAATTACTGATAAAAATATTATATACTAATGACAACATGAAGTTAATGGTTAAAATATTAAATAATAACAAGAATATGAAGTTACTGATCGAGATATTAAATTTTAATAGAAACGTGAAGTTACTGATCAAAATATTTAATATTAACAGAAATATAACGTAACTGATCAAAATATTTAATATTAATGAAAACATTAAGTTACTGATCAAAATATTGAATATTAACAGGAATATAAAGTTACTCATCAAAATATTTAATATTAATTAGAACATAAAATTACTGATCAAAACATTGAATATTAACGAGAATATGAAGTTATTGATCAAAATATTGAATATTAACAGAAAGATGAAGTTATTAATCAAAATATTGAATATTAACGGAAATATTAAGTTACTAATCAAAATATTGAACATTAACGGAAATATAAAATTACTGATCAAATTATTGAATATTAACGAGAACATAAAATTACTTAACAAAATATTAAATATTAATATAACAACTTTACTACTAGTTTAAACATTTTTTACAACAATTTTAAAACAAAAATATTATTTATATAAAAATAATATATTATTCATTCAAATATTTTTATATTTCGGAAGAATTATAGGCACCGATTTATTATTCTTTTTAAAAAAAATTCATTTCATTTTTATTATATTTTAGAACAAATACGTGTATCATACTGGTATCCGTACAAACGCACAGACAACTTTACTATTGGTTTAAACATTTTTTACAACAATTTTAAAACAAAAATATCATTTATATAAAAATAATATATTATTCATTCAAATATTTTTATATTTCGAAAGAATTATAGACACCGATTTATTATCTTTTTAAAAAAAAATTCATTTCATTTTTATTATATTTGAGAACAAATACGCATATCATACTGGTATCCGTACAAACGTACGGGTATCCCACTAGTTTTTTCTAATGCAGATTAACTCTAAATCTAAATTATTTTTAGTGAAGAGATACTTGAAAATGCTGTGAATGAGACTCAAATGTTAACGAAATAGAAAGCATAATGCTGTAAAATACATGTAATAAGGGATCCAAAAAGAGACATAAAGGAAACTGGAAATATCTTCAAGTGAATGTCTGAATGTCATAGTGTACAATAGCTCCTTCAAATGTGAAACTGGAAACGCTGCAGAACCTTATAAGCCCGCCCCTGGAATGAAGAGCTGTGGTGTTACTTGTTTGGAGCATAGTAATAAGATGAGTTCCAAACCTCTAAAGAAAACACTTCTTGGAAAGATCCCGGGAAGATTGGCTGCGAGTTCCAACACTGCATATCACAAGAGTTTGAATGATGATCGCCACCTTTGAACAAGTAAATAATGGTCAAGAGTCCAACACAAGCCAAGGCCCCTCTCAGAACAAGAAATTCTTTCATTTGAGAAGCTTCCCAGATGTTGCAGCGGATCTTTATGGATCTTTATGCAGTTTTGCTGGTATAAACCAAAAGCAGAGACCATTGTGCAAATTCAGAAAATATCAAAGAACATTCAGCCAGCCAAATGTTATTGGTTAGTAATTACAGCATAATATATCATCTCAAATCTAATGCAGGCCAAATTCAGCATAACATCTACAATAAAAGTTTACTTTACTGCATTAATACATTGATCTTTGCAATCTAGAATCTCTCTATACACAAATGAATATACACAATATAATAACAAGGCAAGCTTTTAAACAGAGCATTTGGAAGAAAGCCAGATACCAATAACACAACTGAGTGTGATGAGAGATTTCTCAACTTAGCAAGGATTTGGAGAGACCCAGATTGGGAGCGGCCATCCGAGCCAAGAATATGAATTCCGAGGATAACTCGGCAACAACGGGTCAATGATCTGATCCAATAATCTAAAGACGCCAAAATCATGTTTCCCATAAGCATCATCGTGATTAGACTCCGAATAATCATCAGTGAAATAGATACAATCTGCACAACATCCTACAAAATCAACAGCCGAAAAACACAACGAAGAATTTCCACCTACAAACAAAGCCCTATCACCCAACGTTTCGATTTTTTCCCATGCCATGACATTCCAATCCATCTTAAAAACCTCAAACCCCACCGTTTTATACACAAACATATCATTAGATTCAATCCCTCCATCAGAAAACTCTTGTCCCAAACTCCGAGTAACCAACAACATTTCTTCACCGGAAAACACCACATAAAAGATATCCCCGGAGAATTCAACCGGCACATTGGTCTCAATAACAGAAACTCTAGGAATATCAACATCACACACCACAATCATCCCTCCCTTGCTCACAGCATAAAACAATCCTTGATGATAAACAACATCTTCCCAAAACTGAAAAATCTCATCACTCATAAAAATCCAAGAATCATAACCCTTTTTACAGAAAGCCAAATTGTTATACCCATCAACAATAGCAAAAGCAACAAAATGATCGTTTTGAGGGCTCGACGATAACACAATTTTTCTAATGAAATAATTACACATTTGTTTCAAATTGAAAAAACCCAAATCACCGTTAGGGTTTCTAACAAAATACTCACGACCAATATTGGAATAATCGAAGCTTACCACATTAGGGAAAGTGTGAAGCGGGGGAAGAAAGAGAGAAGCGCCTGTTAAGGGGTTAAAAAGACGAATCTGAGGGGTTTCGTTGAGGATT